TATAACTAGAGAAGCAGAAATAATTACATACACACATTATTGTGTGTTTAAAAGTCACTTAAACATACCGAAAAAAAAATAGAAATCGACAAGAAGCACTCCACACCGAACTTAATAATTTATATGTATGTTTTAATTTCAATATTTTTGTCAAAACTTGATTGAAAAATACATAAAAAACATCATACACTTCGCTTTGTGTGCCTTTTAAAATAATTTAAAAAATTCGCTTTACAAAAGCCTTTTCACTTGCTTTCCCGGAGAATACGACGCAAATAAGTCTGCCTTTACTGCCATATTACAAAAAGTACTCAAACTTCACGCATTGTTACTAATGCGAAACTCAAACCTACCTTGCAAATGCAAATTTGAGGTAAATTTAATTTGAACCGACCTGGTTTAATAGCGACTTTTTGTTGGGGGCATGAGATGTTCTATAGAGAAAAAACTAAATATTACAGGCAAACACAAAAACTAAGAAATGTTTGAAAAATTAAATAACAATTTAATAAATAGGTTACAAGCCATATTTGATTATACTCGTAAATGCAAAAATGGGTAAATTTTGGAAAAATAAATTTACTTTCAACGGGTTCACAACGGTTCAACTGATTTTAATCATTTGAATAGTTCTAAGACGCTTTCGATCTACCAGTTTACAGCTTGGCTGAAACAATTGTCGCACTTACACTCGTGAAATGTAACAAAAACATTTATAAATCAATATTAATAGTTACTTAATTGTTCCGTACAGCCATCATGCAATTAATGTGAACAAAACCTTTCAATTCTCCACTAGTAATTTTAATTGATTTGTCTCATTACTCTTTCACCTATTTTCGTGTCGACTTAAGACTGAAATGTCATTACCGCATTGCCGTTAATTAAGCTACCAAAAGCCTCAAGAAGCAAGAATGGCTTTAATGAATATTGACGCCGTAATTACAGATCTCAAACATCACGGATTATGAATTTGCAATTAACGATAATGGGATTTTATTGGAACGAATTGCAGATTTGGCGTTTTTCATTTAATCTGGCAGCGATTAGCGAACATTACAATGTTTTGGCTAAAGTACAGGGTATGTAAAAAATACAAATATTGTGTGGAACTTTGGATGCTTAATATTTCGCCTATTGTGTAATTATATCGATTTTTTTCCCATATGCTCTCAACAAAGCTTAATTAAACAATTGAAATCTACCAAAGCTAATCGAGAAGCTTTTATTTTTGGTCAATCTATATATATAAAATTCTCGTGTCGCAGTTTTAGTTACCATACTCCTCCGAAACAGCTTGACCAATTTTGATGAAATTTTGTATGTATATTCAGTAGGTCTGAGAATAGGTTGTTATCTATTTTTCATACCCCTAAGTGATATGGGTGCTGCCATAAACCCGTATCTTTTAATAGCTATATTAGTAATTCAATAAATTTTTAAAAAAATTTTAAAAAATCTCAAGTTGGCAAACCGCCCACTCGAGATGAAAAAAAACCCTAGGAATAATTTATATGGCAATACAACGTTTGCCGGGTCAGCTAGTGGTTTTATAAATTAAAAATAATCAATTAGAGTTTTTTATATGTGAATTATTATTGATATTGACAAGCCAAAAGACCTTCAACAAAAGTGGTGAGAACTTTCCATTTTCAATTTAATCCATTCAGAGTGTTTCTCAATTTATTCGCTAATATTCTCCAGGTAACTACCGTCCCATATCCCTTATTAATAATATAACCAAATTACTTTAATCCTGTATAAGGGTGAGGGTTTCAAAACATCTTGAAAAAAATAAGATTTTATCTCCAAAGCAATTTGGTTTTAGAGGGGGTAAGTCAACTGAAGATGCGTTATTTGAGGTAACAAACTATCTTTAACGTAACAACATCAATTTTGTGAGCTTTAGTATTCTAGATCAAAATCAATTAAATGTAAATGTTTTAAAGATACACACATCTGAATGTTCATCAAAGTATTTGTGTATAAAGTGTAAAGTAAAATGTATAAAGAATTTGGCCATTTTTATGCATCAAAATATTAAATGGGAAAATCATATACAAAATATTAACTTAAAAATTCGTAAACTAATTTATAAATTTTATCATCTTAGAAATTGTATGCATATCAATATTTTAAAAATGTTGTATATATCCTTAGCTGAATCAATCATAAGATATGGTATTTCAATATGGGGAGGATCTTTTTCTAGTACCCTAAGTATTTTGAACATCACTCAAAGGTGCCTTTTAAGAGTAATTTTTAAAAAGCCGCCCAGATTTTCTACAGACGTACTTGATGAAGAGGCACAAGTATTGACAATAGAACAATTGTATGCTAAAACTGTACTTATCTTTGTTCATAAAACTCCTGCATTACGACAGCACCGAGAGAACCCAGTTCACTATACTAGAAGAGAGATATATTCCCTATACTACAGAATCTGTTACCGTTTCTTTTCTCACAGAAACAACTACGCAAAGATTTCTGACACATTTTGGTCCTAAACTTTTTAACTTCATACCAAGTAATATTAGGCAAATCCAAAATAAACTCCTTTTTGGTAAAAAGATAAGTAAGTTGGTTCGGGAAAACTTTGAGGTTTTTGCTATGGTGCTGCGAAGGTAGTTAATTATTATACAAATTGAATGTAAATGTGTCTTATCAACTATTGATAAATTTTGTAAAATAGCTAATGTTGGTCATTAGGTTTATTGTTCTTAATGATTTAATGTAGCTCTTGTAATTAACGTAAGGTTCATTGAACATTTATTTGTTAAATACCTAAATAAAATTGCTGACCCCTTTATTACTCAATATAGTTTATAGGTGTGATGGGTATTGAGTATTTATGTTTATTTTATTTAAATATTTTTATTTTTGTACACACAGATTATATCTAAGTGTACACTGGTGTTATTTGCTTAATATGCAATAATATGTAATAGTATAATAAATTGAAATTGAAATTGAAAAAAATTTAAATTTCTCAGTGCTCTAAACGCTTTTATGTTAAGAAACATACTTTACTAAAATCTAATTTAAGAACATGTTGAACTTCGATTAGTTTTGTCGATTTGATTAGTTACTTAGTGCTAATATACCTAAGCAAAGGGATTAATGAGATTTTTAATAAAGTAAAAGTATAAAATAAATATTAGTATAGTATAAAAAATGCAACAGTTTGCGTCAGCATTTATTTTATTGCAAATTTTTTTTCTGAAATAGTAGACTTGTACCTACATTATAAAACGGTTAAAAAATCAGTTATTATTCCTGTCGCGGAAAATTTCAATTCGAGAGAAACACGTTTCAATAAATAAAAAAAATTTCACTTGAGAAAAAAATCTGTGACTTGTGGTTGTCGGCCATTATTTCGGAAATATCATAAAATAGGTATTGAATTTTTGTAGGTGCAATATCGGTATGGTGAGAGATGTTTACGGCTTAACTCAGATGTGGACTTGTTTCCTTATGAAAAACTTCAATGAGCGAAAAGTTGTCTAAAACCGCATTTCCCCAAGAACAGAAGAAGAATCACCACTAAGAAATTGTTAGTACATAGATCATCTATCACAGCGGTCGGAAACTTTTTAAATCATTTCCCCAAAATATTTTTGTGTAAGTTGATATTACCCCATGGCGAAGAGCAAAAAAAACGAAATTGCCTCTTTTTAGCATCTTTGACATTACAGCCCCCCATGATAATTTTGAAGATAAAACAATAACTAAAAATTTAATTTAAACATCATTTATTCAATTTATCGATGTAATACCTAGTAATACATAACGGTAATAATAGTAATATAAGTAATATATATAACAAATTGAAACCCATTGGTGTACAATTGAGGGTTGACAATTTGGGGTATTGTTACAAATTATAATAATAATAATAATAATGGTGGTACAAACAAAAATTATAATTGACAAAGTTACTTACTTCCTTCACGTTTTGGAGAAATGATCTTGTTTCATGTTCGATACAATTGCTTCAAAATTGGGACTTTTGGATGTAAGAGCGATTTGAATACAGTCTTCGGCGATTAAATCGATTTCTGTTCTTCCTTTTTATGTTCATTAGAGTGGAAAAGCCTTGTTCGCACAAATATGTTGTTCCAAATGGCAGCAATTTTCTAACCGTCTCTTCATGTGCAATTTTGAAAGCCTTTGCAGCTTTTTACATCCAAAAAGACGACAGATTTGGTTTACTCTCAAATTTAATACGTGCTTCAGTATTAGATCGAAGTTCAAGCATTGATTCTGCCAAACCTGAAGGTTCTTCTGGTATCATAGCAATTTCACATTTAAAAGGATTCCAACAATCCAACTGACTACGTGTATCAAGATCTGGAAAGTAATCTGGAAACCGCTTTCGGAGTTTGATAAGATGTCTTGCAATTGTATCCTTGATGTCAGTAAAAGGAACATTTTCGCAATCTTCCAAAAACAAATCTAACCTTGAAAAAGAAGCTATCTTGTTCTATTCTACTTTCTGTCTCCAATATTGCAGCTTTAATACAAACGCTGACACTATTTCTCTCGCTGAAATGATATTAATATTCTTCCCTTGCAATTCTTTGTTCAAAAATTGTTTAAGTTGAAAAAAATACTAACAGATTTATAAAATAGCAAATTAAAAATATAAACTTTTTATTCACAAACATTTCAATTTTACCCCATTTGGAGTAATTTACCCCGGTTCCCCGACCACTGATCTATCAGGAAAGCATATTTTTAATTTTATACGCCCATCGAGCTAGAAGGGGCGATAAACTAGAAAATTACCTTATTTTCCCTGTCATCTTTAACATTGTAATGGTGTCCTATTTAGAAATCACACGTTTGATAACTAGCTTAGGTTGGAGTGTTTGGACCTTTCACTACATCATCTACAAAAGATGCTTAAAAATCCCGTAAAAAATGGATTTTTTGCCGTTTTCTGATTAACATTGATTTAAGTGAAAAAAATCGGACAAAAAAATGATAAAAAAAACGCATTTTGAAGAAGCTAGATACGCAACGAAAATTTACTTTATTGAACAAACATATAGGTATCCCATTAAATAAATAATCCGCACTTTATCCCATTTGATAGGCCCGGTGTTTTGACTGTTTGCTGGATTAAAAGTATTACCTTTCAAGTGGGTCGACCGAAGAAATGTTTATTCCGGAGCTTTTGTCGACCTGTCCGGTCCAATTGGAAGCTGCGGCTGACATCCATTCAGCGAGGTGTGGACAGCATAAGTACATGTCAAACAACACGTCGCCGATTCTATTCACCCACAACCAAATAAAGAAGAATAGGTTTTTACCTGTTGTAGTAAACGTTTTGTGAGAATCTTAACACGAGACAGTGACCACAACAGATCGGGGGCACAATTAAACATTATTAACATGTCAGCCGTTTCTTCGGATCGAGCTTCGGGTTAATGGTGTTTGTTAGTATTGGGTCTCGGTATATTTTCAATTGATACAATATTTCTCAAACGTGACAGACTGTGGGTATTTGATCGAACTTTGCATTCCCATTGCGGTCACCCTCAGTATAAATTATATAATCATTTAAACAAACATGTGGAGTAAAAGAAAAACATCCAAGTAAAGCTCAACCGTCCTGTATATCTAGTTCAGTTGAGACTTGAGGAGCATGAGAATCTAGTTAGGAGAAACTATAAAAAAAATATAGAAAATGGTGTGTACCTACACACTGGATAATATGAATTAACAAATCGTGTATTAGAGTTTGGAATTAAGAAATAACACACTCTAATACAAGATTTGCGAATTCAACTGGCTCTTAGTTAAAAACTTGAATGCCGCTCAAGTCTGAGGAAGAACCTTTGTTATTCAGGAACGTAAAAATGAAAAGCAGTTTTCTATCTAGCACCTATAAACCTTCTCAATATTTATTGGTACATATAATGAAATTTGCATTAGTGATAAAACAGGATCTTGTTTTAGCAAATTTGCCGACCTTTTGCCCCATTTATTTAGGCTTCTTCAGGGCAATTTTAGATTATTGGTTCAAACACTATGATTTGAAACCTACTGAAAAATATCGTTGCAGCTGCATTGTTATTAAAGTGTGTAAAAGCGAACTAAATTGAAAATCAAAATTGAATTGACCGGTTGAAACACTTGGAGTATCTGTAATCTGATTATTGTTGAGGAAAATGGGCCAAGAAGTAGTTTTACTCGACGGTAGGTATTATTTAATAAAAACTCAAAATTGTTCTGTCTGGTCGCATCTTAGAAATCTCAAAATAAGAACAAATATAGGCATAGGATGGGAATAACGGCAATATTGTGTAAGTGCGCTATAATGACAAACGGCTTATTCTTACCTATAGTTTGCTATTTTTATAGTAAAAAAAATATTTTGCTTATTTTCATTGGCAAACGTCAAATAAAAATAAATAACTGTATTTACTTATTCTAGAGATTCAATTGTGTACATGTTTTGTGCCTTATTTTTATATTTTAAGGTTCCCTTTCTGAATGCTTAATTTAACGCATATCTACAATGTCCCATATTAATTAAATTTTATTTACATTTAGAAACTACTTTATTGACTTTCTTGCACAAAGATGAGTCCCGGCGGTCACTAACTAAATGGATTTTAAAAACATTTTTAGCGGATGTCAGTTTTTAATTTCAAAGCGCCAGACATCAAGCTCTTAGTCTGAAGAACTACTAGAATTTCTTACTGGTTTTTATTTTTTGTTTAATTCGATTTTTTTTTTTTAATGTTCAATTCAATTTGTTACATTATTGTATATTAAGCACATAACACCGGTGTACACTTAGATATAATCTGTGTCTAAATTTCTACAGAATATTTTGGTTGTTAAACAGAAATAACGAATGTATTGTAAGTGTGTGGGGATGGGAAATGGAGTGGAAATAAAAAACATCGCAGAATGATGTTGTCCTGACCACGTCGAATTATCATACGATACGCATAAAAATCCATCGACCCCTGACATCCTAACCACCTAGCGGTATGAAATATACTTTACCATCCATTCTCATATCTACCAAATATACATAAAAAATTTCATAAAAATCGGTCGAGCCGTTTCGGAGGAGTTCGACTACAAACACCGTGACGCGAGATTTTTATATACATAGATATTGAGTAGTAAAGGGGGTCAGTAACTTCATTTAGGTATTTAACAAATTATGTATTAATGACCAACATGACCTATTTTACAAAATGTATCAATAGTTGATAAGATACATTTACACTCAATTTGTATAATAATTAACTACCTTCGCAGCACCATTGCAAAAACCTCAAAGTTTTCCTTACTTACTTATCTTTTTACTAAAAAGGAGTTTACTTTGGATTTGCCTAATATTACTTGGTATGAGGTTAAAAAGTTTAGTACCAAAATATGTCAGAAATCTTTACGTAGTTGTTTTTGTGAGAAAAGAAACGGTAACAGATTCTGTAGTATAGGGAATATATCTCTCTTCTAGTATAGTGAACTGGGTTCTATCGGTGCTGTCGTAATGCAGGAGTTTTATGAACAAAGGTAAGGACAGTTTTAGCATACAATTGTTCTATTGTCAATACTTGTGCCTCGTCATAAAGGAAGCCTGTAGAAAATCTGGGCAGCTTTTTAAAAATTACTCTTAAAAGGCACCTTTGAGTGATGTTCAAAGTACTTAGGGTACTGGAAAAAGATCCTCCCCATATTGAAATACCATATCTAATGACTGATTCAGCTAAGGATATATACAACATTTTTTAAATATTGATAGACACACAAGATGTTAAAATTTATAAATTAGTTTACGAATTTTTAAGTTAATATTTTTTATATGATTTTCCTATTTAATATGTTGTTGCTTAAAAGTACCCAAATACTTTATACATGATGTTCTGCCCAAGGCTTCTGTGCAATTGCATGGTTTTACCTTTGATAAACATTCAGATGTGGGTATCTTTAAAAGATTTATATTCAATAAATTTAGTTTTGTAAATATTTATTGTTAAGTGATTTTCTTGCAGCCAGTGGCAAACCTTTGCAAAATTGAACATCGCCCCTTCTAGAGAACTTTCCCAGCTATCAAGTTTTTAAAGTTTACCTGCAGTATCCAGAAAAAGAAGTTCATTTATAAAGTGTAAATAGAGATATAATAATATATACAATATCAATGAAATAAGTAGCCCTTCAAAGTTATAATAAGTAACAAGATAGTTTAAAATAAAAACAGTGAAACAGCCCAGATCCTCGACGCCCTTCAAAGCGAATAAAGTTTTCTACTGATTTTTACTAAAGGTAAATTTGGATTTAGCTTATTACACGTTAAACGGTGGAAATACAAAATCGCAATTTTTAAACGTTTTTCTGTCTTTAATCTGAAAATGTATGTGTTCGGCACAATCGTGTTGGTTAGTTTACGCCTATTATTAAAGCCTAGTGGTCGTTGAATCGATTTTTCTCAAAAACGGATCGGAATATCGATATGCAGCAAGAATTCTTAATTTATGAATAAATGTTTAGCTTTTTAGATTTTCAACTAAATTTGATCTTTCATGTACAGGGTGAAAGTTATTAATGTAAATATTGGCAAAATTGGTTGCAATTAGCGCTTCTCATGAGCAACGCGAAAATTGCATCACTTATCTTATTCGTTCACTAAAAAATACTAACGTCTCAAAATTTAAAGTGACTACCCCAGATACTTTCAGAATAATCCCAAAAAAAACGAACAAAGAATACGACTTTTAACACCCTGTATTTCCGAAAATATCAACTTTGATATGAGGTATTTCTTATTGTTAATGAGTCACCCTATGGATGCATAGAATGAAAGATTAAAGAGAATCATATTTGTGAACTTTTTTCAATTTTTTTATTCAGTTTTATTATTTTTGGTTGGTTAACTGCGATAATCAAAAACAAAAATTCGCTCCAATTTTTGATTGATTATTACATTTAGAGTGAAATACTTCCTCAAGTTGATCTCTTTTACGTTTTTTTTGCACCCAACAAGAGGCGCAAATAAATTATTTCATTTTAGTCAATATTTCGTATCAATTATCGAACCTCGCCTTTTGTCTTACGAAGTTTGGCAGATTTTATACTTTTATTACTTATACTTATATTGCCTTTGTTAATACAAATGCTTTTCTGTAGCATTTTTTGTTTTTCCAAATTAAAATTTTTTTATATCGTTTTCCCTTTCAACAAAACAGGGTCTCCAAACATTATATGCTTCATATTAAGAGTTTTCATTTATTATTGAATAAACAAAATAAATTTAATAAAAATTTGAATTAAAAAAAATCGAATACAATGCGCAATAAAAATATACACTAGATATATTAAGTAAGCAATCAGTTTCATTAAATAATTTTAATATTCATCAATCTCCCAAAAAATGTACGTTTATGGTTTCATCAGCAACCGAATAGAATATGTGGTGACCTCCCGAAGTTAACGATCAAGTTGCCGTTGCTTATCGTACGCATGAGAGGGCACCACAAATGCACTGAGGTTCCATTTACGGGCGCATTTTAACGCTCAAAATCCGGCAATTTTATAATAACTAATAACACTAAACTGAAAAGTAGATTGCTAATCAACCAGAACTTAATCAATACTAAAATTGCTAAATAATCAGTAAAAAGTACCTTTCCCTGTAAAATTCAGGCTTTTTTAATAACTCAATTAAATAAAAAGGATTTTTACCTTAATTTAAAACTTTGCTGATATTTTGTTGCTTCGCCAACAATTAATAAAATTAAATTTAAACATTCTACACACTTCTAACGCGGTTGCCTTTGTCACATTTACTGACAATTGCCATTTAAGTCAATTGCCCATAGCCTCACTTTATCAGCATTTTAAATCGGCATTTTATTAGTATTTTCGAAATGATTTTGAAACAATTGTGCGCTCCGTCTAGGTACCAGCACTTTTCAAAAATATCATCGGTATGTAGTAATAACAAAAGTAGATTGATCAGCACTTCAGCCGCAGTTTGTGAAATACAAAAAATGACCAGGCTGCGAGTGGTGGACAACAGCCCCATTGGCAAACTGGCAATGGCAGAGGGCAAACCCCCCAAATGCATTCACGTCTACAATAAGACAGGAATTGGAAAAATAGGTTCGTCTAATTTCATTCTAGTAGTGTGTGGGTATTATGGCCCTCATTTGTTCAAATACAAAAGACATGCCAATTGAATGTAACTATAGAAGAACATGGGTTAATCTGCCACATTCCTTTGCAACCTATCGGGGTTGCTAATTTCTAATTTATGATTAGTGGATATACTTACATACATAGAACTATTGTGGATTCACTCACCTAAATTTAGTTGCCCACTATTGGAGGTAAATGAATAGTTGTTGAACCGCGCACTATATAATCCATTAAAGCTGCTGTTTGGCTAATAGCCGACACTATAAAGCCGCACAAGGTTCATGTAATAAGCATGAAATTATGAGTGTTTCTCTATCTGCACCCTGAATGTTTTCCTAGCCGCGTTTCCAGTAATACAGATCAATGTAAACTGTGTAATGCACATTAAAGCCCTAAAGTTGGCTTAGGTGCAAAGTTTCCGTTTCTGCATAAACAAAGTTTTCAAAAAATATATTTTATTGACAGATCTGTATTTTTTGAAATTTCGGTCTCTACTTAACTGTTATTTGACATTTGACGTGCAGATATTTTTTTATATGAAAAAAACGTATAAATAAAATAGTTTTTTTTCAGGTGATATAGTTTTAGTGGCAATTAAAGGGGAGAAGAAAAAGGCTGTCCTAGTAGGCCTGAAGCAGAACCAAGCGCCGAAAGTACCAAAGTTTGACAGTAACAACATTGTATTGATTGACGACAATGGCACCCCTTTGGGAACCAGAGTTCATGTGCCAATTCCCACTATTTTGCGGACAATTTTGAAAGAAAAAACTCTGGCGAAAGGTGCAGATTACACGAAAGTTTTAGGAATTGCTTCTCGGTTTATTTAAGGTTTTTGCGGCTACGCAATTTGTGCTAGAAAATATTCATTGGTTTTTAATAAAATAAAATAAATATGTAATATGTAACATTTAGAAATGTTTTCCGGGCTTTGAAGCCGTGGTCTATCGGAATTTCTTCCTGACGTTTCGTCCACAATTGCGGTGGACATTTTCAAAGGCGATGAGGCAGTGGGCGAAGTGA